ATGATTAATTGGCGGCTTTGCCTAGAAATGAGGCCGTAAGGCGAAACCCAAACACGAGGGCCTGTTTGCAAGATAAATAGACGGCGGTAAGAGAGCGGTAGACCACCCGTAACCGGCTTTTATTGAAACCACTACGAGACTCGCTTGCCTGACTTGTTAAACTCTCTAGAAGACCTTCCACTAGGTTAACCAGAAAAATAGCTAGCTTAACAGACTGGACTGGAGTTACGTATTCTTACCATTCCCCTTGTATGTGTTGATCCAGTACTCTTTAATAATTTTGTTGATCTCAGCCATTTTAATTCCGTGATATCGCATAATGGCCCTGGAATGCAGATAAGATATAAAAACTTAATATTATTGTCGAGTTAAGAAATGTGGTCTGCGCTACATGAATGCGCATGAAATTTGTCCTTATTGGGAGAATACATAGCACGTAAGTCGATGGCATTGAGAACATCTAAAGAAGCACATTCCTACATCGTAAATGTACAATCTTGTTTTGAGTACGTCGTCGCTATTGACTGATGAAACGACTGAGATCAAAGAACAACTACAATAACAACAAAAGCCCAGCAAAACATAATGTTCGAGTATAACTCGTATTTGCTAAAATTGAATTAAAATTAACATTTTAAATAAAAATAAACTTTCCATTAAAAATCAAAGTAGTTAGAAACTAGAAGACGGAACTAAAACCAATGTCCCAGAAGAAAGGCTGCCTAAATCAATTAACCACACCACTTAATGAAGAAGATCGCCAACCTGTCAAGAGCCTTGTAGTACTTTCCAAGGTCATCATTTGCCATTTCAGTGGTCTGCAAAGTAGTAACAACGGTTAAAAACTTTGCGAACACGTTGACGGGACAAAGCTACCCAACCAGACATACGGGGCTTAAAACCACGTGTCACAAAATTAAGCGATTACGTTCACTTTCAGTTGGAGGAAATTGGAGGAACTCAATCTTCCAAATACTTTGAAATCATGCATTCTGCGCACGCACAGCCCAACATGGTTTTAAGTTTTTAAACGTCTCTCACATGTTAGAAAGGGACGTTTGACTTTAGGTGCGCGGACGAACGCGTTAACGAAGAATTGTATATGGTTAAGGGGACCTTAACGAATCATAAATATCCGCCATGGTAAGAGAAAATAGGCCTCTAAAAACAAAAATTCCAAGGACTAAATTATACGTAAGCTACAATTAGCGTTGAGAATTTCATATGAAAATGTGCAAACAATCGAAATTGAATCATCTCATTTGTCTCCTACATGCTGAGTAAAAAAGACGTTGGGAGAAAAAGTACCACCTGCACACTGACCATTTGAAGACTATTATACCTATTGAGGTGGGCGAATCACTAGTTATTGCCTGTATCATTCACCTTCATAGCGATGACTTTTTGTCTGTGTTTCTCCTCAGCATTTTTAAACAAGTCACTGCGCAACTCCTTTTGGCACCGCCTCAGGTCATCCTCGTAACCTGTAAGTCGCCCTTCGTGATGCGCTTTCTGAAAACAGGTCAAGTATGTCATAAGAAAATTGATCAGAAAACTTCTGTAAATATGTTAGCTTCAAGTAGGACACTTTACGACAGCTTAAATACAATGAGCCGCTGTCCTCGTTGACTGTTTTCTTCATTTTGATGTTGAGTTTGAAAAAAGCACATGGCATGTTTTGTAATTTGTGTTTTCGAGCTTATTCAGTTTCTCCGTGATCTAGGCACGAAAAACTTTGAATCGTTTGTTGGTTAATCGTTGGTTAGCTAGTTTATTTGTTCGTTCCAGTTCATTCACTCAGCGTGATGGAAGTTTGTTTACCAATTTACATGGAATAATAATACAGTTCAACGCATATCAAAGTATTCAGTTGTCCTTAATCACGAAGTAGAGACACTGGGCCTCTACAAAATATGAATACGAAAATGAATATTTCCCCAATTTCCTATCAACAGAGTGCTGTCGCCAGCTTCCATCGAAAAAATATGAGCATTGATATTTACAAACAAAATTATTGAGGATTTAAAACATATTGTAGTCTTGCAAGTTCCCCTTGGCGACTTTCCCAGGAGGGACATTATATACAACGAACGCTTTTTTTTGCTTTGCAACTGTCAACGAAAGCTTGCTGAAACAAATGTCTGTGATAAGAGGCACGTGAAAAATTAACCATTTAAGTATACATTTCATTTGCACAGCCATTTCTGCTGCCTTCAAAAGCCTTCTTAGATAAGATCTATTTTGGATGATAAGTTAAAAACACCTCGATAAAACAATACTTTCCCTGTGCTTTATACAATCTGATGCGCGCAGTTACCTCTTTCCTTAGATCGTCAGACCGCTGTTGCAATTCTTGCCTCTCACTAAAATAAAAAAAAAGCCGTAGTTTCTTTAGAATTAATCATTTTGTAGAGAAGTGCAAACCAGTTCCATTCATTCAAACTTTCACATATCTCGAGAAGGCCCAGAGCGATTGAAAACTTAGATGTACATGCTCAAGACAGTGTCATAATGAATCATTCTTAAAATGTCTCCAGAACCATTTCTGTGCTTCTGAGCTGAATACATTCCCCTTGTCGTTTGTTTCTTCCTGTTAAAAAAATTGACAGTTTTCCCTACGTCGATCTACCCAAAGATCGTTCATGGAAAGAAAGATAATCTCAGCCTGCCTTCAAAGTGGAAACCACGGAGTACTCCACGCAATTGGAAAGTGATGGCAAGCTTTTCAATTGTGTCTTGGGAGATGGGCACACACAGAAAGAAAAACTTGATATTCCATGTGACTCCTCACGTAACTCCTTTTTTGGAACACTGAAGCAATCAAGAGTTTATTTGACTCCTAAAAGAACCGAAAGCCTAGCATAACTGAAAGAAAAAACCAAAAGGGACTTTAGGCAGCCTTTCCTTGTCTCTTACCTAGCAAGGTCCTGGTGGTCGCCAAACTTACGCAGTTCTTTGTAAACATCTGCCATTTTCTTGTCGATATTTTGAATTTCTTCCTGGGTACTCTTCAACTGAATGTTGTCCTCAAGTTCACGGGCCCGTATCTGTCAACAAAGTTTAAAACATCTCGTAGTTTTGAATCTGGACTATCTCCTTTAGCGACTTGTGGAATTTGGTACAAGAATCACTTCTCTGCAGAGTACAAACTGTTGTTTTAGCTATTACATTCATTAGCTTAGCCGTAGTTTATCGAAAAAAGAGAAATCTGAAAAGGAAATGGGTAACGAATGAACAAATTGTTTGAAGTTAATCATAAATAAAAAAGTTATTTATGATTTACAGGTTATCAATCATTGATTATTCGAATACCCTATGCATTTTTTATACTAATGTTCTCTACTAGGCACGCAATGCAATCAATCTGCCACTTTTTAAGAGAGAGTGTGGAAACAACTACGCATGACGCTTTCGTGCATGAGCTGTCGATAATTTGTAGGCAGCTATTTTCAAGCAAACTCGCACGGCGGACTCCTAATAGGCAATTGGAAAAGGAAAAAAAATTCCAACGAATCATATTTATATTTTTGAAGACAAAAATTTTAAAGGCTAACCTGTTGCTTGGAAATGTCGTTCTTCAGTTTATCGATTTCAGAAGACACAGCTTCTTTCTCCGATTTCAGTTTGTCTGCTCTACCTTCCACTTCTCGTAAACGAGCCTCGTTTTCCTGTAAGGCCGTTGTGCCTCCATCGCTCACGTACCTTAAAAAAAAAAACCCTGAATTAACAATTCACCGCATAAAGTTAGAGTTTAGACATTCAATGAAGATTCAGATAACGTCTCTCTAATAGTAATAGAGGTTGGTACATCATTACCATTCGCTGGTAAAATGCTCTTTCCCGTTTGGGGTGAGAATGATTGTACCACCCCTCCCCCTCCCCCGCACACACACACACACACACCCAACCACTCACCCATTCGATGTACGTAAAGCAGGTGGTAACCTTCTCATAAGTAAGGATCGGATTAAGTTTACCTAACATCTTAAGAATATAACTAAACAATAACATTTGAAATAAAAGGAAACCTAAAGATAATTCGTGATTGTTTAAAAAGTCAACGTGGTTCAGAATTAAAGTTAATTGCATGAGTCCATGCAAAAACTCTGTCATTGACGATGTTGCTTCCATTGCTGAAGTTGTTAAGAAAAGCAATGAGGCAGCAGGTTTATTCTGCTAGTACAGGGCAAATATCAGACATGTCACTTCTGACGGCTCCTTTGAGAGCTAATAAATTGCATGCCGGCAGTTTTACTGTGGTAGTTAAACTCCAACTATAATACTTTGAGGTATAACCGATACTAATATTTTTAGGACACGATTTCTTCGAGGTTTGACCACTAAGTTTGTTGAGTTGTCCATAAATTTTTGAGCAATAATAAATAATAAACGTGCCAAGTTATTTAAAAAGACAAGAATCGGAAATTGACTTTTTACGTAATTTTTTCAAATTCAATTTATGCAATACACATTGTTCTTTTAGCTGTTATTTCAAGGGAAATCCAGTATTGAGTTAAAAAAAGAATAACATGCATCTGCATGTGATTTATCTGCACTCAGAGAAAGCTTTCAAACAAAATTTAAAATTTTGCGGTTCATTTTAGCTTCAATATCATTACTTCAAACTGGCGACAACGTGTCACACTGCTTTCAATTAAGATAACAAAGACCACAGAGATAAATATTCCTTCACAAAGAAGAAAAAATTGGATCGAAGTGAACCCTTCTGAAATAATAAGAGTCGGTTTGATTGACGGTGGAAAAGAACGTAATTGCTGAAAAACAAAACGACAAGGGATATTGCTCTACCATCTGTATTTACCATTGACACAAAGAAAAATTATTATCCCCGTTGGGCCCATTAAAAAGAAAAAAAACAAATAAAACTCAATTAAGGTGCTTAAACAAAAGAATAGAAACGATTGCATGGAAAACGACTTAACATATGCTAAAACGGCTTGCACTGTAAATACTGATGGTAAACGATTGTTAAACTTGAGCGCACGAATGCAGCATGCAGTACAACGAGAACTCGACGTTCGACTCGTTCACAGATCTCATCAACACGACAACACGTCCGTCGGAAAAGAGGTACGTCTTGGACCACTGGGCTTTTAAGTTTTTCTCTTATTTCTTTGGCATTGCTTTTGGTATTTTTTCGCTTTGCTGCCTTGTTTTCATCGTTCGACAATGTAAGCAGCCATCAAGCAGTCGGAGCATCCACAGTCGCTTTACAACTGTTCAACTGTTTGTGGCAGCGGCTTTGAAAGAAGTCGCGCTATTTTGGTCCCCTCTGCTGTTAGACGGTGAAACAACTGAAATAGTATTAATAACACTACTTGTAGATTGTGTCTCGGTAGCGCTGATTCTGACTGCTTTCAGCATTCTTCTCCTCATATTGCTGGAATCAACCAAAATATCATTAGCTCCACCGAGGCTCCAAAACATTTGGGTGTTGCTCGGATTTACAGTGGTTCCGACCGTAATTATGCTCACATTCAACCTGTTGGTGCTGTACGTCAGAGAATTTTGGTACCTCGTATCCTATGTGACAATTCTTGGCTGGGGAATATTCATCTGCGTTGGTTACCTAATAGCAGGACACAGGATGTGGCGAAATCTGAAGTCATCGCGACAGCTCGGAACATCTTCGGGAGATCGAAAGCTCAGAAACATAACCTTCCTTGTATTCGTAGCACCGTGGATCACTGCAGTATTTCTAATTCTCGACGTCTGCCTCGCTGCCAGCTTTTACGAAATGTCATCAGTGGCGGTCACCGAAAAGGAAATCTGGGAGAGATATACGATAGCATTTTTGCTCCAGAGCTGCGAGTTTACAATTGTGCTTCTGATATTCGGAGTTGTCGTAAGAACTAAGTCTGGAAAAGGTTCAGTTGATAATGCTCCAACAGTACAGTTAGGAACATTTTTTGATGAAGAGCCAAAGACAGAGAACTAAGAAGATGACAACGAATATGGAAGTAAAATCATCACAGCAAAGTAAGACATGGGATTCCTGTGGGACGTTCTTTCTTTCCCACACAAGTAACTTTAGTTGCGAAAAAAGAATTCAACTATAATAGCAATTAGATAGCAAAACAAGAATACAATGCGAGTCGATTGAAAATTTAAAAAATTCTTCAAAAGAGGGAGCTACTACAAAGCCAGCGTGACGGGCACTCAGTGACGTAAATCTAGAGCGTGAGTTTGTAGGGACGTTGTGGGAAGAGGAAAAACGCACCTCTTTCGAGCGCGCGTGCCAAGGAACTAACGCTTCTTTTACTCGAGCGGTTGCTACACAGAATGTTAACGAGGTCGAGCCTTTCAACTTGAGGACACAACTAAGATAATCCTCAACTGAAATTATAATAACTTCTCCTGCTAAATTTTACCTTTCAGTGTCACCTAATAGTTAATATATAATCCTTGAAACGTAATTTTTTTATAGCGATAGACTCTTTCTCAGAGAGCCGGGTTCAATTTACGTGGTGATTTCATTCGCAAACTTTACAATTCAGCGCACGGTCTATTTAACATGATAAGGTTTTTCAATCAATATTTACCAGGGACAAAGGTACAAGGGATTATGTCCTCGCTTGTGAAAAGCCGCTTTTGTCGCGTAGTCGGTAGCGACACAACCCTTTTCGGGTTGGCCCTTATCCAATCGAGGAAGACAGTGGTAAGGAATATGAACTTAAAATAAAAATTACATCATGAATGGTCTTATTATGGAGTTCAACAATCAATAACCACTTCGTGAATATTCAATAAATAAAGAAAATATTTTTCTCGTCTCAGTTCTTTGAGAATGACCAAGGAAAGATAATGTTAAAAGGTCAATGTTAGTAAAAAAAAAAATGATAAATTGATTGGCAGTTTTTGCCATGAAATATTCCAAGCACGCGATTTTGATGAAAAGATGTCACCTCCTTAATTTCAGTCAGTAAACATAACTATAAAGCAGAGATTCAGCAATTGTAAAGCACACCAGATAAGTAAGGCTAATGCAATAACCTTCCAAAAAGATGCTCTGAATTCTCTTTTCAAAGTCTCCTTCGCCTGAAGTTAGAACGCACTTGTTATAAATTGGAATACCGACGATATAAATAAAGTCAATTTCGAATTCGCGTTAATCTAAAAATAAAACAAATAAACACAAACTACTCAACAAAAGCAATAACAATCCGAATGCGTGCATAATAATTAACGAATCTGCATTACACTGAATTTAGCTTTCATCATTCATTTTGAGCATCCTTGCATGACCATTAAGTGTAGAAAGTCATAGTTAACTTCTGAAGTAAAACCTGTCACAATACATGTTGGTATCTACTGACATTAAAGTTTGCCTTCAAAACGTCAATCTATTTTAGAAAAGGAACGCGCAATTGAACAAATTTGCATCAATTGTTCATGCGCAACTGCAAATAGCGATACGTTATTAAAAAACTATGGGTCTAAGTCGACGCACAATCGCAACGAAATGAAACAAAACCAAACCTGGACGCAAGAAACACCACATTTAGTTTCCACGCCGAGCCTTATGTCATCTACAAGCGTGGAGGAACTTTTAAATCAATGGGCATGGAAGTTTCATACTTATTTTTTTGCGGCATTGTACATCATTTTCGCAGTGAATTGTTTAATTGCTTTTGTTCGCCAAAGTTCAAGATCTGTTAACAAGAGCGTTTACCGGCGTTTTACGACAACGCAACTATTTGTGGCCGCCGTGGTAAAGGCTGCAGTTCTTCTGTGGTGCCCCTTCTTAGAAAGAGAAATTTCCAAGGCGCGCTATGTTACCGCACTAGTGTTGTTCAGCTTTTCAAAGGCCTTCAATCTATCGGCCTACAGCATACTTCTCCTGATTTTACTCGAATCAACAAAGGTTTCAATCGCGTCGCCGCGCCTTCAAAATATTTGGGTGTTACTAGGTTTCACAGCTGTCTTCACGGTAACCCTTGCTACGTTCAATTTGCTGGTACTGTTCGCAGATAAGGAGCTTTGGCGCTTTATCTCAGATCTGGTCTTCTCTTCATGGGGAGGACTAATTTGCTTTGGTTACGCGGTGGCTGGGTATAGAATTTGGCGCAACCTAAGATCTTCGAGAGACATGGACAACAGTCGAAGAAATAGAACGCTCAGGACCATAGTACTCCTGGCATTTATATCATCTGTGGTGACCGCTGTGTCTTTAACTCTGATAATCTGCGTGTCTGCGGGCGACTTCGGCGCAATAAGAGGATTGCAACTCAAGAAGGACTCTAATCGGGCCAGATTTGCTGTAACGTTCTTGATGAGAAGCTATGAGTTCGGTTTAGTGCTATTAATCTTCGTAACTGTTGTTAAGACGAAAACAGATCGGAGTCGGGTAGAGGACGCACCATCATTACCGATGGGAACATTTCTAAACAGCAGCACCAAAGGGTAAAATTTTCGTCCCCCCTTCCCACTCCCCCCTCCCCCTCCGCATAAATACCTCGGTTCTAAGCAACTGTACCTGCTGGGACATAACATGCTCACGAATCTGACGTCTAACCTTTTTATTTCAGCAGTTTTCTCCCGCACTTTGTCCCCTCTCGTTCGTATTTCTTGGAGCTGCAAACCAAGATATTAATAAATTTAATCTTACATAACGTTATATCTTTCGTGTTAAAGCAAGTGTTCTCTCTTGCAAGCTCCATTTGAAAGAAATTATAGTAGCTTAGATGACAACTCTTAGATAATTTTTTATTTGATTGAGTAAAAACACCTCAAAGCGATCCGCGTTCATTTTGTTGTGTTCTAAGGTAGGATACGTTCCCACAATACCTCTCTTCACCCAGGAGTATAAATGGGTACCACAGAACTGTCAGCGAAACCTGACGAAATTATGTGGGGTGGTGGGGTAGGTAAACTGTGGTGGGCTAGCATTCTATGAAATACTCCATGTCACTTCACTCCCAACCAACCCCTCCCCAAGACGCCGGGAAAGGTCCGGAAGCTGTGCGATTCATTCTCGTATGTGAACCTACACGTACCTTTTTTTTTCAAACAAACAGAAACTTGCTATTTACCTTCTTGCGATTTTCGTCATCTGAAGCCTCCTTCTGACCCACAACTCGTTGTTTTTCCTCCTGCAGTTCTTCAAGTTTTTCCTTAAAAAATACGCCAAAACCTAAGCTTTTTTCTTTTTTGTTTATACTCATTAAAAAAATGCGAAAGAGCAGTGGATAAAAGTCCACAGTAATAAAGCGATTCCACTCACCGCGATAGGGGCTAAATCTTCCTCGGCTTCCTGTGAAACGAAAGTAAAACAAGAAAAAAGGACTCAGTTTACCAAATTTCCTCACATTTCATTCTGCAACTGTCAAGTGAAAGCTAAAAGTGATAAAAGACGACACTGGTCTTGATTCATTCATTGTGCAATGTGATTGATCTAGAATACTCGCACCTCTCCCCCCCCGTCTCATTACTAAACACTAGCAAAATCAGAACAAATCGGAACTTAGTTATCGTCGTTCTCCAGCGCTTACATCGTTTAACAAGTACTTTCTAGAAGTTCTCTGCAGTTTCAAGTGATATTAACCTTTGCTCTGATTGAATGTTGCGATTAAATCAGTTTTGGATTTACGAACCTCAATAGAAAAGCGCTCCAAAGATCGATTGCCATTCTTATTACTACGATATTATAGTATTATCGCATTATTTCATAGGATTATATGTACTTGGGAGGATTAACTTTATGAGCAATGAACAGTTAGCGACTAACGCTTTCTTTGCCTTATCCCCACATAGGCGCATTTCTTAAATGTTTCTACTTACCTTAATTTCCCTTGCAAAGGCATTGTTGTTTGCGGTGAGTTCGGCTTTTTGTTGTTCTAAGTGAGTTCTCGTCTGCAACTGAGCTTTCAATCGAAGCTGTGGAAATTCAGATGAAAGAAAAAGATAGAATAGATTAGATGAAGCAGACAGGCAGAAATACTTTTCGAGCAAAGTTACCTTTTGTGACTTGAGCTCGTGCACATTAGTCTCCAAGTCACTTAGCTGCCGCTGCAGTTGGCTCAACTGAGTTCTTTTACGATCAATGTGGTTATTGAGCGTGTCACTACGAAATAATAAGAGTAATAATAAAACGCGGTAACACTGTTGAGTGACATAAAATCAAGAACGACCGGAGTTAAAAGAATTCCTCTATTTCCAGGAGAACAAAAAAATCCAACAGAACAGTGGGAAAAATTCAATAAGAATTAACTGAAAAGCGGGCAGTTCTGAATCAAAACTAAAAGAATCGTCTTTATAAATCACTTTGGCTGATCAAATGTGAAATAAAATATTTTTGAGCGCAAAACTGCATTAAGGGGAGACCTCAGATCTAATCTTAAACCAATGAGGAACCTCCATGAGCCATGGAAACAATTTTTCTTAGATAGAATAGGAGAGATGGTAAATTCTGGGCTCGACAATAAACCAAACGAAAATATTTCGAGAGGAATCGCGCCCAGACCTTCCCATTCTTCGCTCCAAAGCGACACCATTAAGCTACAGAAAACTCCAAAGTGAACTAGTAGGTCAATATTTCAATCATATGAAACAAGGGTCTCAATGTACATATTGTTGGGATCAGCACAGTCGAAAGCAAATTGAAAGTTTTGGTGATATTGGTACTCACGAGCGATCTTGTCTATCGGTGATTTCATTTGAAACTGACTGCATGGTTCTACCTGGCGCTAAAATAAGGAAAATAAAAAAATTAAATAAGTGAACAAATAATTACCAAAAAAAAAAACGCCAAACAAACGAAACAGCCTCCCCCCCTCCCTAATTTTCCCAATTGACTTAGAGCGAATCGACTAGTTGCAAACGATTTTTAAGTTTTGACTAAAACAATTGCTTGTGATCCAATTGGAAACAAAAAAATCTTACCAACTCCACGGAGTTTAGACTGCAGCAAGGATATATTCTTGTCCATTTCCTTCAGCTCTGACTTGTATTTGTCCAACATACGAATGTCTGGTTCCATATCTCGAGCACTCTGCGCCTCGCTTTCGGTCAAACTCTGAACATCTTCAAGCTTAAGAGAGGAAGAGTCAACAGTTAGGTTTATGTCAGTTTGGATCACTGTACAAATGAATAACACAGGCTACTATGGGAAACAACTGTCTTACATAAAAAAAAGCAAGAACAACTTAAAATAAAAAACAGCAGTGCAAGGTGAAACATGAAGCCTTACATTGCGAGAAAAAAAAAGCTGATTTGAAAGCAAGACAGGTGCGTCA